GCCTTTTTATATGGAAGTGCAAAGCAGAAAAATGTTCTCTTAGGCACCTTTCATTCTTTTGTGTGTAGTTGAATTGCTGAGCTGATTTTGATCCTGTGGACCAGAGATATAGTGTCTATCTTGAAGTAGCAATCATACCTGTGTTTCCCCGAAAATAAGAACGGATCTTTCTTTCTTTTTTTTTTTGCCTCCAAAAGAGGCACCAGTTCTTATTTTCGGGGGATGTCTTACTCACCTCTGGCACTGACAGCCCCACCCAGCTGGCCCACTTATTCTGTGTCCGAAGGAGCAGTTTCATTCTGCAGCTGCATTCCGGCCTGCATTTTGCCTTTCCAGAAGGCCTCTGGATTCAATCCATAGCTCAGTCCTCAGCTGCAGAGGACTTGCAGAACCAAGCTATGGATTGAATCCGTAGCTTGCTTCTTGGCTGCAGAGGCCTTCCAGAAAGGCCTGAGACTGAGAAATATAGGCCTGGCTGCAGAAGACACTGCAGAAGAAGTGGGCCGACAAAGAGAGGCCTGGCTGTAAGGTAAGTGGATGTAGGGCGTGTGGGGCAGATCCACATCCCTACCCCCACCCTAGCTTGATTTTTAAGTGTGTGCCTCGCCCCAAAACTAGGGCTTATTTTGGAGGTAGGGCTTATATTAGCCGCCCCCCCCCAAAACAAAATCAAGCTAGGACTTATTTTTGGAGTAGGTTTTACTTTCGGGGAAACACAGTAATAAAATAATAAACCTTGGTCTCACTTCAGCTTCTCTATCTGAACACATATTAGAGCAAGAAAAAGAAATAGATATCAAAGTAATTTAAACATTAATGTTTCTTCCTCAAAAAAAGTGGGGCAAAGATCAACTTTATAAATGATAGGTATGCAACTGATATACTTTGCTTCTTTGATAAAAAATATTGTTAAGATAGAAAAATGAAATGCCAGCTGTTAACCATGTTGTTTGACAAGATTCTATCTTACAGTATTGCTCAGGATTACAAGTAGGTGTATATCATGATATAAAATTCTGATTTGAAGATAGTAATGACTTTGGTTTGATTTCATTTGAGGATGGAGACTGTAAACAAAGTCAGTGATATTTTAAGTCAGATTCGGCTTGTAATGTTCAGATTCATCTACTTAACTAATTCTATTATATCTAAAAAGTAATAAGAGGTCAAGAAAGACATTGTCCTGAATAAGAAGTTGAGCACAAATCAAGAATGAGCTATTTTAGATTGCACTAACAAAAGCATTCTTTTCAAGAGTCAGGAAATAAAGGGTGGTGCTGTTTTGGCTCTAATAAGAATCTAATAAGTCTCTACCCAGTTTTAATGGTTCAAGGCTTGATCCGCTAGAAAAAGTGTATAAAGATTGTATATATCAGAAAAGCATGAAGCTGAGAGAACTCTATTTTTTAGTAAAATAAGTTTTAGTAACACACCGCTGTTTTCATATATTTTAATTGCAAGAGTGACTGATGTCCATCTACTGATAAGTAGATTTGCCAGAGGATCCCTGTTTTTCCAGCTCTGCTAACTATTAGGTGGAAGCTCGATGAAAGTTTCAGATTTGAAAACATATGTGGGGACTACAGGGAAAAAAAGAGGATGCAAAACATTGCTATTTAAGGAAAACATACTGGATATAACCTAAATGATTGATAAAAAAGATAATATTTGCTTATATGACTTTATGAAAACCATGCAAAATGTAAAACAAAATTCCTTCAGCTTCAGTATGCCAGTAGAATAAGCAGAATTGTTGGATTTGCTAAAGATTGACCAGTATTTGCCCAAGTACATCAGATTGTTTGTTTGTGGTCACTTGTTTTTAGAAAAGATGCAAGGAAGAAACATACAAGGCCAAAGTTATAAAACTTTCATGCACAATTCAAAGTGATTATGAAAGCCTGGGATCAGTTCACATAGTCAAAATTTTCTCAATGTGACATATCTTAACAGATCAGGAATTAATTGTGCAGGAGTTAATATTTGATTAGATTAGATACCAACACTCAGAAGAAAGTTCCACATGGTGATGAAGTAAATCCAATTGCTATTATAGGAAGAATTTCCAAGATATCATTAAGATTACAATATTAAGGTTACAAATTTGTTCTGTTCTTTCTGTTTTGAAAATTCTGAAACTGTGAATTGGACTTTTAAATAGCAGATTACAGTTTATATTCTCTCTCTCTCTCTCTCTCTCTCTCTCTCTCTCTCTCATTATATATATATAATGGGTTTCCATAATACTAATTAAAATCTAACCTATATCATGATCTGAAGTATGTTTATCTGATTTTTAATAGCAATATTGTGGTTTTAATTTTGTAAGTTTAAAGGTAGTAAGGACTTGTAGGGATAAGGATTTGTAGGGAACACAAACATTTAACAAGAATGTATAAATTCTCACTTTTCCTTTGAGTCACATCAGTTATATTTATGATTCGATTCAAGAAATAAATAATTCTTTGTCACATGAGATTGAAATATCCTGACTTTGTTTTTTTGGTTGTCTCTTGCCAAGAACCAGAAAATACAGCAGGTTTCTGAGAATGTAACTCACAATTGTTAATCAGATGAACACATGCTAGCTCCTTTGTCTTCAAAGATGTCTGAAAAATTCTCCTATAGTATTGTCTATCCTGTATATGCAGCAAATATGCAGTGTATGGTGTTCATGCACAGTTTGGATTGATTGCTATGAGATTTATGTCATGGTGCTCATGAGACAGTACAGGTTTTTTTTTCTCTTCAAAGGCATGAAACAATTATGCAACACTTTATAAATAATACTTTTAACTCCCTCCCCACATTTATAAAAAAAGTTGTGAATAATTTGCGACAGTTTATTCAATTTATATCCAAACTATGTTTTAAGAAAATTGTATGATAAGTAATGAGTTATTTATAAAAAATAATAAAGATGGGATGAAAAAAAATCTAAAAAAAAATATACATTGTGGTTTATTGACTTACCAGAGTAGAAGTATTGTTTTTGTTTTGCTCTTTAAAAGCACAAACAATACTTACTATCAAGGTATAAAATTAGTAAACCCTACTAGAATAAGAGGGTAACCAGTTTCTCTTAGACAGGACAAAGATTGTGCCTTGAGAAATGATTGTTAAAACTTTCAGTTGATCTCTTATTTCTCAAGGTTTTATTCCTTGTAATGAAACTATTCTGATAATCTATAGTAATCTCCTTTGAGTCCCCACAACCCTTGGGCCTGCTTCCCTCTCCCCCACTGGGTCCCTGGCAGGCCTTTTCCTCTGTCCCATCCCTGCAGTTGATCACAAGAGGTTCTTGATGCTCTCTGAGCTTGGTTATTTTCTTACAAACGTTTTCAGTGCTAGTAGGGGATTGGGGTTTGCTCTTGTTTACAGTTTACAGCCCGACCAAAGAACCACTAAGACCACTCCCACTAATACAGAATATAAATTGAGAGCAAACATCACTTCCCACTACACTGATGATGTTACCTAGTTTGGATAATGAAATGTCTGCAAAAAAATAACAAAACTCAGAGAGCACCAAGGACCCCTCATTTCAACCCTGAGCTACAAATATTCTCTATCAGTTGGTCGTAAGGGTGAGCAACCTATAACTTTGAAAGTGGGTCATAAGTATTTTTGGGAGAGGGATCTGCCACAACTTCAGATGGTCATTAACCTATCAATTGTTAAGAGAGGACTACTTGTACACTCGAGTCATAAAAAACAAAATAAACATATATTTATGAGCCAGGATTGTAAATTTGGGGTTACCCTCCTTTTCTGACACTGAAGTATAATCTTTTTTTGCTACCTTCTCTCTATCCCTCATATCATAATTACATCCATAATTATTAAAATTTATAATTTAATATTCTTTAAAGCCATTGTTTTGTTAATACATCATGTTCCAACTCTGTTGTGTCTGGACAATTGTGAAATCAAAAGTTGATTTAATTGAATATACTGCCACTTTGCATTTTAAGCAATCCAGTTTCCTCTTGTAGTAATTCAGATGCTTTAAAAATGTACTCTAATTGGCAGTGAATTGATCTAAACCTTCAATAACACTACTTGACTAATAAAACTTGAAAAAGAAATTGTCTGCTGTTTTCACACTGGGATTACTCCAGAATGTGTCATATCAATAAGGCTCTAAATTACAGTATATATTTTGTCTTAACATCTTCCAAATGCTGATTGTAGATTTTAATGCAGGGGGATATATTATAGAACTTAAACATGGAGCTGTATGGTCTAGGTTCCCTTTATTGTTTAACAAATGAATCAAGACTTGGGAAAAATTGAAGGAAGTCTTGTTATCTTAGTAGTTTGGTTTCTATGCATCTGTCTATGTGTCTATTTTAAGTGGATTTTATATTCATAGTAAATAAAAGAGATTAGATTTTAGGTGTTTTATTTCATTATTTTAAACTTTTAGTTCACTGTAGGATTATTTTTCATCTTTGGGGGGTTGTTCTGTTTTGTTTAGGGTCATTTAATATAGTATTTTATCTATTTTCATCACCATATTCCCTCTCCCTCTCCCCCCTCTGTGTTAATGTACCGTGCCACTGGCAAGTACTTTATACAAGAGAAGTTGATGTTTGTTTATCACTTTTTCAGTAAAGCAATCAAAAGCTAAAGGGATTATCACTTAGCTGAGAAGTGATCCAAAATGGTAATTCAACACTTCATTTGAAACTGGAAATTAAGCTCAATCCTTTTTTATCATATTCACAATTTAACATGCTTTAAATATTGCCATTCAGGGAGTAATAGAATATTTATAAATAAAAAGGAATTACACATAGTATAATCACGTACACAGCCCAACTACCAAGGAAAATTATTTCATGCATCCTCAAATGGACTGTACCGATATTCATCAGAATCCCATTATTTTCTTTTTACAGATGAGTTCTGAAGTACCAAAATTGTTCTTCTGTTTTGTCAGCTATGTCTAGTTTTAAACCTTGGCATAATCTTAATAATAGTTTTAATTTTCTTCTTTAGCTGCCCAGGATGAAGAGACAAAATGTGCGTTTAGAGACTCCTACCAAAATGATCACGGGATTAGTGAAAGTCAGATTTCTCAAGAGAATGGTACAGTTTTATGTATGAAAGGAAGTACCTGCTATGGTCTCTGGGAAAAAACCCGAGAAGGAGAAATACATCTTGTGAAACAAGGTAATTTCAACCATCGTGGTGCTGTTTTATTTTTTCTACTATGGCTTGATGTAATATTTTTAATGAAGATCTGCCATGGATTACTAACCTTTTTGGCACAGGAGGCATTTGGAAAATTTAGAGCTTATTATGGGAAATGGCTGCTATTGAACTTAGCTTATCCCAAACATCTATTTATCAGAAACCTATATTCTAGCCTCCTGGGATATTCTCTGCTTATATTATTTTTCCTGAACAGATGGACCACTTCCAAACTCTTAAGATTTATATCCAGGTGAGATATAAAAGGAACAATAACACAGTATTTATATCAACTAAACAGTACATAGATTGTACAGTACATGATTTATCTCATCTATTATTACATTAAAAGCTATAGTCTACACCAGGAGTGTCAAACTGCCGGCCCGTGGGCTGGACGCGTCACGAGGAAACCGCGCCCACCCCATTGCCGGCAATGGGAAAAAAGTTTTCATATGTTGCACAATGTCATGTGACGTTGCAAGTTTGACATGTCTGGTCTAGACTCTACCTTTGAGAATTTTTAGTCAGACCCTCATTGCTCATAGTTTTGGCTCTTCTTCAAGAATCACTGTTCAGTTTGTAATAATCATAGTCCAGGAACTGATTTATTAACGTATATAATGAAGAGTGTTATGCTTATCAAGCAGGGGATGTGGATCTTGGATTATATCAGAATCAGTAGAGTTTGTTACTGGTGTTTGAATCCTGGTTGATTTCAGTATTCAGAATCATAATTCCAAATTCAGTGTTCTTTAATATGTGCTTTCTAACAAGCGTATGTGCTTGTACAAAGGGTGGAGCTACGTATGTTATAGATGCTCCTTGTTCATATTATAGTTTAGTAAGTTAAGATTCCTGATTTATTACAAGCTAATATGACCACAAATGGAACTTTACTGATGTATCATACAGTATAACTGTTGTTCTTTTATATTTAACGTACTGTTGTGAAGTGATAAATAAATAAAAAAAAATCTGATTGTGCCAGTAGATTACTTTTCAGTTTGTTTTAATTTGGTTTGGTTTGGTTGCTTGTTTTTTATAAAGGACGAAAGGATAAACTCTAAAGATCAACTCTGCTTGATCTAAATTGTAGACAAAGCCTTGAAGAAGAAGGTTTTCATGCTTATATATATTGGAATTCCAATATATATATATATATATTAAAAACAATGCTAAAAACCGACGATTGATTCCTGGGAATGTTCATAATAAAACATATGAATAAAATGAGCACCAGGAAAACAAAACCCTTTAACATTTTTAAAAAGGTTTTAATAAATAAATAATGACCCAAGCTTTCGCCGGCTTCTCTGCCGGCATCTTCAGGGGTCCGTGTCGGTCAATGGGAGGGCACTCCTTATATTACGGCCGCCTTTGCACTCGGTCCATAGGTGCTGTCACGATGTTCAACCGGCCAATCGCCACTCTAGTTCTGTTCTCATTTCAACACAGGTAGATCAAGTCATTGAAATGAGAACAGAACTAGAGCGTTCATCAGCCAGACATACCCTTCTGAGATTCGAACCTGGGCTGTCTGCATGTTAAGCAGAGAAGTTAGCCACTAGGCCACAGGCTCTTTCTCACTTTGTTAGCTACAAGAGACAGGGGAAGAGGATGAATGCTTTTTTTCTTTTAGAGCACCCTGTCAGCCCAAATAAAAATAAAAAAGCATATATACAGCTGGAGTTAAACGATACGCAGGGAGGTGATGAGAGGAAGCAAATGGAGGAAATGCGCAAGCAACCCCTACAAACAACACATGCCGGCACGTTCGTGCCATTAGGATTACATAAGATTGGAGAAGGGGGTGAGGGAAAGGGTGATATAGAGGTATCCAATTGTCTTGATGAGGTTCCTAAAGATGGTCTCCCAAGGATACGATGGCAAGGGAGACCCCCTGATAAACTGGAGGGAGGTGCCTCTGTGTCAGAACCCCATATGGATAAA